TGCAAATGCTGCGCGCACACCTCGTCATGGCAAGTCGATTCCATTCAATCCGACGCCGTTTCGACGCGATGGCCTCGCGGCGCCACCGCGCCACCTCCGGTGCCGCGTCGTTATGCTTCAACTTTGGTCGGCGGAGGTGACGTCACGACGTTCTCTGCTCAATAGCTATTTTTGTCCCTTTTCCTCGTGACTTTTCCTCATTACTCTTTTCCTCCGATACTCACGACTATGTATATCGTAACTGGAGCGACGTAGCACACACATTCACAAGAAGCAACAAGATGTTATACCTTTTATCCTACTTTATACTCTTATCAAAATAAAAGAAGCTCGAGAGATGGAGAGCGGGTGGAGAACGAAGAGAGAGGCATAGCGAAAAGGGGAGAGGCAGATTGTGTGGCGGGGCACGGCACTCCTGGCAACCATCTGTGGGGAGAAAATGCTCTGAGGACGAAATTCACATGGAGGACTCTACACCGCAGCGCAGTAAATCTCTGGGGTTCCGTCGTCCTAATTGTATTATAAGTGCATTTTCCTGTCTCTCCGACCGGCTCTCCCATCCCATCTCTCCCTCTCTCTGCTACGCCCGGGGCTGAGCTGCAACGTTTTCTGTTCTTTTCCGTTGTTTTGTTTTTTTCGGTGGTCACATGCGTGTCTTTGGTGCTGCTGCTGCTAGGTTTCATGCGCTCTGACAAAATTAGATTTCGATCTAGTTTGCATAAAGTTATATCATTTGTGAAATTAAACCGCCCTCTTCATATCGTTTGTGAAAATGTTCCTGTGCGGCGTCTGCCATGGTCGCAGCAAACATTTGACTACGGCTCGACCTCCAAGATCGCCGAGGAGACGCTAAAGGGGGCGTCGCCTGGTGGGCCTGGAGGGAGAGGAGGGCTCCCCGGCAGGTCAAGTGATGGGGGTCAAACAGTCGGGCGGAACGACCGTGCTCACTGCGGAGTGGCGGCGCGCTTGCCGTGTTTCCTAGGGCCCGCCACACCCCGCCACACCCCGCCTCACCCCGCCTCACCCCGCCACGGGGCGTTCCTTTGTCAGCCCAACTAATCTAACGCGGGAGGATGAGGCAACCCTTTGCTCATGCATAGTGCCGCTATAGAGTCGGCGGGGCTTGTCCCGCCCGGGGCGGCGCTGCTAAAGGACTCCACTGGACTGGATGTAACCGGAGCTCGGCGGGGCTCTCTGCTGCGGGCCAAAGCCAAACACACAGCCATTACTTCATTTCCACGAAAAACCGCGTCATAAGGCGAACGGACGCGCGCGGTCAGCGCAGACGCGGGAGAGGAAATGGTCCTGCAACTGATTCGTGAGTTCTGCGCGTGTTGCCAGCATGCGGAAACTCGCATCCTCTGAGAATCCCCATTGTATACCGCAAAAACACAGGTGCGACTGACTAAGCAATTCTTAGAAGTGACAAATGTGTTCTTTACAGAAAGTTGCCAAACACATCTTAACCTAAAAGACGCTTGTTTAACTTCTCCAGATTTTCCTTACTGTCGGATTCTCCTCTAGATTTTACGAGTGCTTTTTTCACCTTCGTGTCCTTCTGGGTCGTGTGCAAGCATGTGGACTCCATGCGAACTCCCGTATGCATGGTGCGCACCCTAGTGTACTCCACGTGTACTCACGCGCGTACTCCCGTGTGCAAGGTGTGCACCCCACGTGTACTCGCGTGTGCACGATGTGCTCCCCAGCGTACCTCCGTGTGCACGACGTGCACCCCACTTGCACCCCACGTGCACTTCCGTGAGAACGGTGTGCACCCCACGTGTACCCCACCTCCTGCACGTGCGCCTAATGCATCCACTCGGACTAATTAATCCCGGCCGCCAAAGGTAACGTGCCGGGGGTGGGGGTGTTTGAGGGAGAGGGGGGCGGGTGGGCGGAGGGGGCCAGGAGGTGGATGATATATCGTCGGGGAGAACCAACAACTCCCTGCCGCTATACTGCTCCATCTTCCCCCGCGGCCCGAGAGAGGGGCGGAAAAAAAGAGAAAATAATAAGAATTAGACGACTGTTTTGGAGCGTGCCCTTCTTGCCGCCGTCGCTGTGGCGAGAAAGAGGGGGAGTCGGAGGCAGACAGGAACAGCAACGGGGGAGTCGAGGATCCTCGCCCCGCCCCGTACGACCGACTCTCTCACACTCCCTGCAGGCTCCGGCACCACAAACAGTGCGCCCCCTCTCTCTTGCACACGTTGCGTGCACAGAGGAGCGCGCAGCGCAGTTTTCCGGCGTTTCCGGCCGACAAGCGGGCGTCGCTTCTCGCACTCTGGGCTTCCCCGCGCCGGTCTCTCTCCCTCTCCCGGTGGAGCCGGGCGACCGGAAAGCCGCAGATTTGGCGCGTCAAATTCATTCTCCTTTACCGCGCCGGAAGCCAGCGGGAGAGCGGGAGGAACGGAAGGGGGTTGCACCTGCGTACGCGAGGTGGGGCGTAAACAAAGAGAAATTAATTAGTGCCGAGGCCGGGTTGTATATATTGAGCGCTTTGTACTTGGGATAAGTTCACCCCAAGTCCCCTGCACTTTTACTGCAAATAAGTCTCCTGGAGGCAGTGTAGGGATCACTGTTCGCCGGTGGACGGTACCGCCCGTCTTCAGCAGCAGCCTGCCCTCCATGCCCTTGGCCCCTTTGCTTTGCATTTGGAGACGTCATCGTCTTGGAGGACCAAAGACACTACACAGAGCCCGGGCTTTCCAAGAGCGGCCGAGGGGGAGGGGTAGAGGGAGGGGGAGGGGAGATGGGGCACAGTCAATACTACAAGGCCCCCGGAGCAGACCCGAGAACCGTCAGTCTGGAGGATCTGCTTCGGTCAAAACACGAACTCCTGCTCCCCCCCCCGTTCGGCCCCTTGAGCGGCTTTGATGATGCAGCGCTGCGGGTCCCCTGCGGGGTTGGCAGGCCCGGCGAGCAGCGCTGTTCGACGGGACGGCCGAGCTGCACGGCGCTCCCCGCTCACCCCGGACAAGCAAGGAAACCCGAGTGTGTGAATGTCCCTCTATTGTAGGTCTGTAAACAAGATTCGTACCCATTGGGGCACAAGTGTGTGAATTTCAAAGGAAAATTCACGCTTTTACTCCTTGAAGTGTACGTGTACGTAGACGTTCACACACATACAAGTGTGCGACATGATGACACGCTTGCGGTTTTCAGTATGGTTGAGTTTACTTTTCGGAAATTAACAAAAAATGAAAAGCCGTTTTTTTTCGTTCCGCCCACAGCCGTCACGTCGTAGAGGAGGTGGTGGTGGGGGTCTTTAATTTCCCGGCCGCGACTGCGACGCTCGTCGCGACGCTCGTCGGCCACCTCATGAATCATGTCCCCCTGTCAGCCCCTCGTCTCATTGGGCGCGGCCGGCGCGGAGCGGGCGCCGCCATCCATCACGCACCTGGCCTCCTCCTCCTCCCCGCCGTCCTCCAAGATGTTGCGCCCCGCCCCAGCAGCCGCCCTGCCGCCCTGCCGCCCTGCCGCCCTGCCGCCCTTTTGCTGAATCTGTGCGCGACTGACGCCGTCGTGATGGTCCTCCACGGCATGCATCTTTTAGCGCCGAGGCTCTGCTGCTCACCGACCCGCCTATCCCCCCCTATACCCCGCGCCTCCCCCGCCCGCTGCACTGTCGACCCCCATATTGCGACCGGTGCTTTACTGGGGCTCCCAGCGGGGCTCCCCCTGCCCTGCACCTCCACTCCCCCTCCTGGGCTGATGACGCCCCGGGAGGTGCCCGACGACGCCCTCTGCGCGCCCTCGGAGCCGCCTGTGCCGCCCTGCCCTGGGATTACGGTGTCATCGTCTCGGGGGCCGTGTGCCCATCTGCGCGCGCAATCTGGAGGCCACCCGGGGGCGGCTCGGGGGCGGCTCGGGGGCGGCGCACCGGCAGCTGTCGACAGACGACTCCATCTGGGCCGCCCCCTTTCTTATCTTCTCTAGAGGATACGACGGCGACAGTCGTTTTTACAGTTTCATCTCGAAAATGACAAGAGTTATGTTCCATTTTTTTTCCCACCCTGCTGCTGACTCGTGTAGAATCGTTGTTTGGTACGCGGCGTAAGCATCGAAGAGCACTGTGAAGTATATTCGTAAATTTACGTTGTTATAACATTGTGATTTACTAGTGAAATTATTAATTTTGGAAACGCAGCAGTAAATTTACTAATGGATTCGTTGAAATACGATTTGCTTATCGTACATACTAGGTCGGTTATGTCTGAAATTTTCGCAATTTTAGCCATGATTGGTAACTAATAATATGCAATTGTTCCGTTACAATTTCTTTAGTTAACGAAACTTTTTCGTAACGAAAACGTTTCACAGTGTAAGTAGTAAACTGTGCCATATTGCGTAACCAGGTGTTGTTTTGAGCTCGCTCTGTTTGTTGGGTACGTTTTAGCTAGCGGCAGTGTGTTCGGGTGCGACTGCGTGGTGGGAGATCGCCGGGGGTTGCAGCGGGGAGGGCTGACCTAGAAGAGGGAGAGAGGCAGAGAGAGAGAGAGAGAGAGAGAGAGAGAGAGAGAGAGAGAGAGAGAACGCTATGCAGGTGGAGGGGAAGTGCAGGCGCGGCCGTGTTTAATTTAAGCGAGCGCACCTGTGAGAACAGTTACTGCCGCAATAAAGTCCTGGGGGCTGCATGCGGCTGCAGCGCTGTGCCTCGCCTCCACCCCAAACAGGATCCCGCTGCACAGGAGGGGCCTGACGTTCGGCCCCGGTAGGAAATCGGTGCGCCGTATGCACAATCCCCTTTCGAATCAAACCATTATGCTCTTCTTGGTTTTAAAAAAGCGGTATTATTTGAAAATTCCAGTTTTAATTCTGGGAAATTGTTGTCTTATACACTTGTACAGTTGCAGAACCAAAAACTACTTGCACAAAAAACTTGTTTTGGTATGTTTCTAGGCCTACCTTGCCAGAATTGGGAAATAAACAATTTTACGTCGAGCGTTGTCTTTTCACAATATAAGACTTGAAATAATGTTGTCCCTTTTCTTTTGCTGTAGGCGCTGTGCTGCAGAGTGGATGGGGATGGGGGCGACTGCATGGTTAGAGGTGAGTGCCTCGCCCGTCTTCTCGTTAATCCGTTCATATCCTCAACGACGTGCTTCCGCCGCTGATAGGGTCGCTATCATCTCCCTGACGTCGCGACCTCGCGGTGCATGCTACAGCGCTTGACGCCGACACCCCCCCCCCTCTCCCGCTAGTTTCCATCGCTGCTGGTGCCAGGCCGGAGACAAGAATCGAAACAAGGACGCACGGCAGACGCAATGAACGGCTCCAATTGCTGGCTATTTGTCGCCAAGCGTGGCTCGGCTTTGCTGAAACGGCACCGAGCAGGGCGGAGCAAGGGGAAGCGAGGAGGCCCTGAAACTGCTCCAAATTGCTCGATCTGATCCGGGGGGCGACTGGATGCGTTCGAGTGAAGTAGGAAGGAGCGACGGCGAGAGAGGGACGACGCAGAGACAGAGAGAGAGAGAGAGCGAGAGAGAGAGGGGGTAGTGCCGCGTCCATTTAGGCCCCCAATCCCTCGCCCCGGCCGTACGTCGCAGTGACAGCGAGCTATTTGGATGCCCCGCCGGGTGTGTCTGGTTATGGCCCCGCGTATAGTGGGACGGCACGGGCTTATATTGGCTGTGGCTCGACGCGCCCGCACCGCATCCCACACGAAGATGCCGTTCAAATGGCTATTCGAAAGACGGCGTCGGGTTTCACTCGTTTTTGTGACATGCCGGTATGGCATTCTATAAAAGTCGAATATTTAATTTGATGGTTTGAAATTCACTGTGAGCCAACTTTGCGAGTCTGGTCCGTTTGTGTTTCCTGTGCCCCGGCGCGCAGCGGTAGTGGGGTGGTCGGCGGCCGGGGTCCACTCGAGTACAAGTCGCTCGCCGAACATAGACGAATGACCCGGGCGAGCGGGCGGCTCTGGTCACAGAGTCCCCCCAAGGGGAGCCCAGGGAGGGCGGCCGGGTCGTGGCCACACCGCTACTCTGCCCGTAGAAGTGCAGCCTTGCGCTCATGGAAAAGGGATTGGAACGACTTTCCAAATTTAAAATGTCTTGATTGGCTGAGCAATAACGAAGCCTATTACTCCAGTGATCGAAAAGTTTCGCGTCTGTCTGTTTGTCGCTACCTGTAATCACGATAACTCGAGAACGGTTTGAGCCAGGTACGTGAAATTTTATTGTAACTTTGCACCATAACAAGGAACGGTTTTGATTTTGAGCCCCAATACACAAAAAATGGCTAGAACGGGCTATATAAAAAACACACTCGGAAAATATTGCTAAATTTTCAGTATTTTTTATAGTCTACTAAAAGGTAACTCGTCAAAGTAGAATCCAAAAGGGACGAAATTTCGTGCGTTTGGCTCTATCTGTAACCTGTAACCGTGGCGCCAGAGGGGGTTTCTTACACGGAAATGACCCCAAAACCAATAAATGTTTTCCTCAGATATTTGTTGTTATCATCCTCTGGAGTAACTCCTCAAAATGAAACACTGTAGACCAAAATTTGTGACTTAAGAGGCCGATGGCCTCTTTATACGACTCCGCCTTTTGCCCGACTCGGCTGTCAGCACTGTAGGCCCGCAGGCCTCGGTAGATGCATACCAGGCGTGTCGCAGCGTAACAGTGTTTCATGATATATCGCGATTCGTGGTCTGGCGTACATCTACCTACTGTAAGAATATTTTAAAAAGTAATTTCTTGTTAAGCTTATTTGCCATAGAAAATATTTGGAAACCCCTTTTACTTTGCAGACAGGGCTCTAGACACAGCTACTGAAGCGCTGAAAGTGAATGAGGATTTATTTGTGTAAGTAGTGCATTAAAATGGGTATATTGTGGTGCCTGAGAATACCAGATAAAACTTACTCCGAAGAACTTCTTTTTCAGGATGCTGATAGCTGATGCCGAATCTGATGCTGAGTGTCCTAATGGTGAAGGAAAGCTGCAGCCCCTGTAAGTAATGCATACACCTGCGTTAAAATTTCAGGTAGATAATTAGTAGGGAATTGAGCGAAGGAACCTACTTCGAATCAGACTTTATATTTCCTTATTGTTGTCCGTAAATCTCAATGGAAGCTTATTTAAATGTATCGTAGTTACCTTGAAAGCGATTCTTTTTCCGTTTCTTTCTGGCTAATTTAAAGTAAGGATTACAAAGATTTGCGCTTAAAATAGAAACAGAAAAGTCCTTTCTCTAAGAATAAAAAAATGTCAGATTACCCGAGATTACCTGTAGTCCTTATAACAAGCTGCATACAATCCAAATAAGGTGCTGGTCTAAAATAGAAGCAGTCGCTCTATAATGAACTCTCCCTGGAATGAGCTCAAGTTTTAACGAATCTGCAGGGCTCCCTAACTTTTCGTAACACGGACGAATGTTGGAGTTACTCAATGTAACAAAACACATGTCAAAGTTAAAAGTTCTGAATTTTCAAATATGACCGATTTTAATCTTAGCCTACGCAGAGTAAAGTTGGACAAGTAAAATAAGTAACTTGTTTTTAAAAGGCTACACATTAAAAAAAGTTACAAGTTATAACTGCACTTTAAGTCTAAAACTTTAATGGCTGTCTAGTAATAAGTTACGGAGCCCTGCCAATCTGAAGATAAACATAGTTCACCTCTGTTTCCCAGAATGCTTTCCGCACACGGCTTTGGTGAATGGACAGCGGAACAAGACAAAGATTTGAGTGATTTGAGGAGAAATTTGAAGACGGAAAAGGAGGCTGATGGAGGTAAAGATGAAGGTGAAGATAAATGTGGAGATACAGGTGCAGATGCAGGCAAAGAGTCAAGAAAAGATAAAAGAAACAGAAAATCAAAGGAGAGGAAAAAATTGAAGAGGAAGAAGGCGGTGGAAGAGGCAAGACAAGCTAAGGTGGCAAAAAAGGCAGCAGGCAACCAGCAGAATGAAGGACAGCAAGAACCTCCGTTTCCCAGAATAAATCCTGCACAAGGCTTTATTGATAAGTGGAAAGTGGAACAAGACACAGATTTGAGTGAATCGAGTAGAAATTGGAAGATGGAAAAGGGGGCTGATGGAGGTAAAGATGAAGGTGAAGATAGATGTGGAGATACAGGTGCAGATGTAGGCAAAGAGTCAAGAAAAGATAAAAGAAACAGAAAATCAAAGCAGGAAAGGAAAAAATTGAAGAGGAAGAAGGCGAGGGAAGAGGCAAGACAAGCTAAGGTGGCAAAAAAGGCAGCAGGCAACCAGCAGAATGAAGGACAGCAAGAACCTCCGTTTCCCAGAATAAATCCTGGACAAGGCTTTATTGATAAGTGGAAAGTAGAACAAGACACAGATTTGAGCGAATCGAGTAGAAATTGGAAGACGGAAAAGGAGGCTGATGGAGGTAAAGATGAAGGTGAAGATAAATGTGGAGATACAGGTGCAGATGCAGGCAAAAAGTCAAGAAAAGAAAAAAGAAACAGGGCAAAGGAGAGGAAAAAATTGAAGAGGAAACAAAACAACAACAAAAGGCGGCAGAGAGGAAAAAAGGAAGAAGACAGAGAAGCAAACTGGCAAGATGTCTGGAGACCAGTATCATGATAAACATTTATCTTCCTGTATTACATACAAGTCACCTTTATGTCAGTGCTTAGGTGAAGGGTCACTGACCCGACCCTGAAATATGTTATCAGCATGTTAGAAATGTGCGGTTGATATGTTTGTTAGTATGATTGTGAGTGTGGCTGTGGCTGTGAGTCTATACACTTCAGTACATCATAAAACGATTTTCAGAAGGTGAATGTGATATTTAAAGTAAATCAAACTGTCTTTTTGTCGAGCATGTAAGGACTTGCTGTGCAGCTCTTGTTTCAGTTAAAGAATCAAACTGTGGGCACAAGTTACCAGCTAATTAGAAACTGGTAAATCATCTGAGATGTGTACAGTAGCAATGAGCTATCAATCAATTTTGTTACACAAATACTATTTTGAATATACTTTTATGTTCTTTATAAGATTTTAGTTTCTTTTTGTTTAGTAAACAATTATTAGTGAAGTGTAATGAAATTTTGTACAGTATTGAGTGACTGTTGTTAATAAATATCATCAATAATATAATATTGTTAAAAAGTATGTATACTGTGTTGTTAAAATTAAAATTGATACCCTACTTCTGTACAGTATTGCCAACATACTAGCTCACAACTACAACAGTCACCCCTCTATGGTATTCTCAGATGTGTGCTCTCTGCAGCGCTGCATTTTTTTGGAGTTTGAAAAACAGCCTAGTCTTTCGGGGTAGCGAAATACTTTGGCTAGTCTTACGGGGCAGCGAAAAAGACAGGATGTATATTGTTGAACGGACACGTCGGCTTGGTCTTGAGTCGCAACAGGAGAGTTTACACCCAGTGCACCCACGAATAGCAAAGAGGAGCGACATGCAGCAGTACCTTTCCTAGTATAGTAGTATTCGACAGATGCCGTCTAAAAACACGAAAATGTCCGTGTGCGTCTGTCCAAGGGGTTCATAAAATAATGCGTACTTGCTCACATTTGGTTTACTAGAGTGCACGGGAAGGGGGTTTGCGCGCGGAGCAGCGTGGAACTTTGTGCATGGCGAGCACGAACGTGCGCCCTTTGAATAAGTTTCTCGAACAAGACATTGGGACAGACAGACGGAGGGGCTGTCGAGCGGGCGGGCCGACGTTGGCAGACCGTGGCTCGCGGTAATCGAATAGTCTTGGACGGTCGCCATCTCATTGACTGCGCAGAGCGGGGTCTGCCCATGTAGTCCTCCCCCTCCCCCGCCGTACCCCTCCGAGCCCCTCCGGCAATGGGGTGCCCCTTGCGCCGCCCTGCCACACATATGTCTCAAACCAGAAACAACCACCCTTGAAGAATAACAATGAGAACGTGGCTTTTACCAGTATTCCAGACGGAGTGATTTTTTTTTTGGTTTTGATAATGTAATGAGGTTTACTAGTTTGTTACTAGGTTTTACTTTTCTCTTTCTCTACCTTCTATCTTAGAAGCAGGTAGCACGAGTATTGTTGTCAGTGTCGTGTAATTTAGAAGCATGCTTCCAATTTCTAATTAGCGGCGCGCGCTTAGTGCTTGGAGCTGCCAATAAGTAACCGGGAGGAGTGGAGGAAGAGAAAGCGACCGAGTGAATGAGGTGAGGAGGAAGAGCAGGTGGGGGGTTGGGAAGTTGCGCGCGCCAGCCACGCTAGGCATGCAAGCCCAGCAACCATCGCGATTTATGGCGGGAGTAAGACAAACGACGGGGGCCCACCTGTACCTCATGGTGACCCTCCCCCCCCCCTCCCTCTTTCTCGCCCCCATACCGCTCTGCGCGCACCGCGTGCAAAATATTGCAGCTTCTCTCTTAATTCTTCACCATCATGTTGTCGGGAGAGAAAAACTTCCGGCGCGTGGTGCGGCTGGGCTGGGCGTTATTAATGGCGGGATTACCTCACCACCGTGTGCATCATCACCACCCGCACCAAGGTTAAAAAAAATTATAGAAATAGTTTTTATTTCTGTTTACGATGAAATTATTTTTGCTAGAACTGCTTTACCGATTTAACCGTTCGGAGGAAAGTATGGTAGCTGTCACACGCGTGGAGATTCTTTGCTGTGTTGGAAGGTTGCGAATTCCGCTCCGTTCTGCTGCGCCGACGCCACAAGGCGGCTTGGAGCGGGGCGAGTTCACACGTTGACCCTCGAAATGAAAACAAATATCCCTCAAGTGGCTTTCGCCAGGCACGCGGAAGGGGGAAGGGGGTGCGAGGCGAGGGGAGAACAGACAGAAGCCACCAGGAGGGGGAAGAAGCACTGTGTGTGTGTGAAGGTTATACGTTGGAGAAAAATAGACGCAAGAGTAAGAGAAGGGCATTTTTTTTCTCTGGGAAATGTAACGGAATGAAACAGTCTGCTGCTTGGACCGAGCCAAAGTATGAGAAACTACTCTCAGCCCGTACCACCACCAGCAGCAGCAGTGCAAACTGCCGGCAAAATAAATTGAGATGTAAACAATTGGGGAGGTCGTGAGGCCATCCAGGCCAGAGTGCGGGGCTGGGGGGCCTCGGGTAGAAGGGGTCGGGTGAAATGGGGAGAAAATGGAGAAACAGAACTTGTCCTGCGAACCGCGCGCGCTGGCTTCAAGCCGCAGAGAGGAGAGGGGAGCAGCGGAGCTAGAGAGGAGGGGAGGGGGTGTCTGGTGGAGTACATGTCTCCCCTGAGTAACGTTACGCTCGGTAAAGGGGGTGTCGGCTGTTGCGTCTGTCTGTGTGAGTTCGAGCGATAGGGGGACGGGTGGGGGCCGACGGGGCAGAGGAGGAAGGGGGATGATGGTAACCCTACAAAAGTTTGCGATCGAATCACACACAGTAAACGCACAGACTGACGGCTTTCGCGCAGAGACGGCGCCATCCACATTGGTTTTTGCGAAAACGCCGTGTCGTGTGGGCGTGAATGGGTCGGTAAGATGAGAATTTCTCTCGGCCTACTCCCATGAAAGAGGGCCCACCTATGTACCGTACGAATGTGCGCAAATATGTACGCCCATTTTCCATGTTTTCTTTTCATTATTTTATAGGTTCTATGTATTTCTAGAATTTTGCCGTAATTTTGGGTATTCCTTTTTTTGCACCCCCGCCCACTCTCCGCCCGTATAATCCTAATCCTGCATCAGTTTATTTCAAAATACAATACACATTCACAACAGTATGGCAAAAAAAAATCGCAAACAAATAGAGAAGACAAAAGTTACTCGGCTGCGATAGCGCGGTGGGCGAAGTTGTGTAGCTTTGTGAGCTTCCGCGCCACGCAGATAGCTGTGTGCTGTGTGTTTGTGCGAGTGAAAGAGCGCGGGTGTGTGAGAGTGAGCCCGAGATTGCTGTGGGCCGAACAGTCGAGTGGCTTCATTCTCATACG